GCCAAGGTTGGCCCTGCTTACGACCGACCCATTGCTAGCCTTACAATATTTACATGATATTTTGGGGGAAATAGACCAATTTTCCTGGCAAACAAGATGCTCAGCAATCAAGTACCATGAGGAAATAGGAAAAACTATGAAAAAGCCCGTTTCAATTAGTTGCAATAGTTTTTTTTTTTTTTCAGGAAAAAATACTGCCTACTTTTTACTAGAAATAGGGTACTCAAACCTAATATCCATTATCTTTATTTATCCATGGACTGAGGGTAACGAGTTGACTCCCCACGTTTCTTAACTATTCATTTTTTTAGCAGTGGAATAATTACTCAACTCCACCACCCATCGAAATATAGACTATGAATTTTAAATATTGTAGATAAATATTGTACTTTGGCAAACAATTTATTTTCTTTTTTCTTTTTTTTTTCCAGTTGAAACCTACCAAATATTTGCAAGATTTGCAAAGGGAAATTACTTGTCTTTGAGTGTCGCAAGATTTCTCCCTTAGTTTTATCTTATGTATAAAGATTTTGAAGATTCACTTTATCCTTAATTGCATGCTTAAGTTCACAAGAAAATTATAAGTTATAGATTTAGAGAAAACCTTACTTTTACAGTATAAAGAGGTAACCTTATACAAACCTCACCCAGATATAATAAAAGATAACACAAAAATTATTTCCGCATAAACTTAAATATCAAAAACTACAAGAAAATGCATTTTTAGTTTCTTCATTGCTTTTCAATAATTATTTTCTCTAACTTTTACAACTTTCCTTATTATATTACATGAAAAAGTGTATACGATGATCGAAATTGTCCAACTGAAATAGATGGCATAGAACACCAGAAATTTACTTCTGCAAAATGGCCACTATATATAAAACTACGTATGTTATATTGTCCACAATATTTCTCTAAGATCTTGACTTGTTATGAAAAACCAAAATATCCCCAAATAAATTTCCAACAAATCTTTGAAAAGAATATGGAATATTGAGCACCAGACTAAAAATTTTGCTTAAAAACCTAGAATTGCTCGATTCTCTGGGTTTTCTATTTTTTTTTTTAATTTCTTTGTTAACTGTAGCCCAAACCTACTCGTGAATCACCTGAGTCGGACCAAAGAAATTGGAATTTTCATAGTCAATGCCTAATTCCGATATTTGAAAAACTGCTTGCATTTTTCTTATAGAACACACGTATAGAAACCCTTCACATGTATATATACACGTGGGTGCATATGCATCATATCAAGGGGACGTTTACATGCACAATTGATTGCTTGATATTGTGCATATGAATGATCATTATTGTTTCATTGATGAGAGAAAGCAATCAATTGTGCATATGAATGATCATTATTGTTTCATTGATGAGAGAAAATTTGTGATGTAGTGTTGGAATATGCAAACATGTTGAAACACCATTACTATAAGGGAGCAGTCCTCAAACCACTTATTAAGGTTTGATTCAATCAGAATTTATTCAACCACTTATTTTAATCAGATTTTAGAAGGAAGAAAAAGAAGAAGATAATTTAACAAAAGGACCAAATGATCATTTGAAACCCCTCACAACATCATTTTAGGATCAAGTTATCTCAATTAGTAATTAAGGAGTTAGTTTTTCTTTTCTATTTCATTTAGGTACCTCCCCGAAAAATTAAAAATTCCAAATTGCATTTGTTTAGGATTGAGAAAGATGAACAATCAGGAGCACTTCAATAATTTGATCCCCTAAGCAGCCCCAACCGAATGATAAAATTACCTATACTTGGTCAACGTCAAAAATAAAAAATAGTGTTTAAGGCTAATAATGAAAAATAACTAGGGGTATTTTTATCATTTGACACTCTAATGCATTGAGTCTAATTGTTGCGTCTAATTGTTCCTAATAAGGAACCCCGAATAGTTACTTATTTGCAATATCAAACCAGCAGTGAATTTTTTGTATTTTGGTCGGTACCTCATGGAGGGTCAAATTATGAAATGCCGATCATTGTTCATCCTTCCCCACCTAAACAAAGGCCATTTTAGAATTTTTAAAGGGTATTTTTTTAGGAAGTACTTATGTGAAATGAAAATGAGAAAGTAATCTCTCAAATGTCAATTAGGATCATTAATGATTTTGGTAAAGGTTTCAACACCTATATAATATTTTCCTTATTATATATTATAAAAAAAGAGTTGACCTTGTTTAGCAGGTCAAACTGGTTAAAATCAGTCTCTGGCCAAATGTAGGTTGTAACTGGTTTTCAATCAAACCTAGCTTTTGCTTTGGATTAAACAATGTAGATTGTAACTTGTTTTTAATCAAATCTAGCTTTTGCTTTGGATCAAACAAGTTAAGGAACCAATTGTCGATCCGACTAACCAGCCGAACTTACCAATGCAATTCAAATTAACACCTAAATTGGTAATTTGACATGTTAATTTGAACTGGCCAATCCAGTTCAAATGTCCCCTAAAATGTTAATTATGATCATTAATAATTTTCTTAGGGGTTTCAACACCTAAAATAATATTTCTCTTATAACACATTATCTTTAAAAAAAAAAGTCAAACTTTATTTAGCAGGTCAAACTCGTCAAAATCAATTGTTCTCGTCAAAACCACTCAAATGTAGGTTTAACTGATTTTCAATCAAACCTAACTTTTGCTTTAGACCAAACAGGCCAAGGTCGCGGTCAATAGTCCAACTAGTCGGACTGGCCAATCTGTTTCAATCATGATAATCAAGTTTTGAATGTTAAAAAAAACACAAAAAAAATATGTAATATATGCCCTTATTGGGCAGGGACTGACACTGATATATGGCAGCAAGGGCGACTGCATAGGATGAAACATTTGGAAAATGAAACTTTACTTTTGTCCTTGAACGTGGAGAAAGAGGGAGGGCAGTGTCACTACTAGTGTGAGAACCTATATGGCAGAAAGAATCCGGATATGCATGGCAAGTACGGTCTGAGCAAATCAAAGCCTACAGATCAGAGCCTGCAAAATGTTGTTTCAGAGAGAGAGAGAGAGAGAGAGAGAGAGGTAATCAAGTCTCAACCAGGAAAGTAGGTAAAAGACAAGAATAAATAAGATGAGGGCCCAATGAATGTGTGGTAGGAAGTTAAAGGGATATGGGCATATATGGTTCTGAATAAAACCAGAGCCCAATTTATGTTCGTGCCCAGACATTAGAAAAAATGAATGTTTGTTCTAATGGTAGAGAACAATGGTTTAAAAAACGGATCGGTGACCGGGCACCCAAAAAATCGATTCGGATTGACGAATCGACGATCCGGATCGGGAATCGGGTGAATCGATCAGAATAAAGCTTCAAAAAAATCCGAAAAAATTATTAAATTTCATTATAAATATTGTTTTTTAGGAATTCAATAAGAAATGAAGGTACTCCATTAAGAATTTTCATATTTTTGAATGAATATGCGAATATTGATATGTTCTTTCCCTGCATAAACCACCATTCAGCATTTAATTTACATCACACAAAAGGATAAACATAGAATTATCATGGAATAAGTATATCAACATACATGCACTACAATAAAGCATAAAATTGTAACATATGATATAAAATTAAAACGATAGACGACGTTGTTGTTCTTCTTAGTCACGATGGTGCCATTGACTGAATTCGTTTGACAATTCATTGATTCAATTTAAAAACGAATCATCGATATTAGCAGGCGTCTGACTATTCCCAAATCCCTAAATGTTAGTGTTTTGTTGTGTTCCCAATCCAAAATCCCCGAAGCTTGTCCATCCTTCATGCCTACACTGTCGTGCTCATCCCTACACTGCTGTTGTTGGGATGCGATATGTGAATAATATGGTTGGGATAGGGTGACCTCAGAATCATCATCTCTCTCATTTTATCTTTGAATAATATGGATTAAAAAAAAAAATTAACAAATTTTCAAAAAATTTGATCATGGATTAAAAAAAAAAAATCACAAATTTTCAAAAAATTCTATCATGGATTACAAAAAAAAATTCGATCATGGATTAAAAAAAAAAAATCACAAATTTTCAAAAAATTCAATCATGGATTACAAAAACTTCGATCATGGATTACAAAAAATTCGATTATGGATTACAAAAAATTCGATCATGGATTACAAAAAATTCAATCATGGATTACAAAAAATTCTATCATGGGTTACAAAAAAACAAAAAAAACAAAAAATTAGATCATGGATTACAAGAAAAAAAAAAAACATTTCGATCATGGATTACAAAAAATTCGATCATGGATTACAAAAAATTCTATCATGGGTTACAAAAAAAAAAAAACAAAAAATTCGATCATGGATTACAAAAAAAAAAAATTCGATCATGGAATACAAAAAAATCGATCAAGTATTACAAAAAAATCTATCATGAATTACAAACAAAAAAAAAAAAAAATTTACTTCCGTACGGGAATCGGCATCGCCGATTCACTGTACGGGACTCGCCGATTCGGTACAGTGAATCGGAGAGTCACTGTGTAGAATCGTCCGGTTCTCTCTAGAACCGGACGATTCCCGTTTTTTTCACCGATTCGATCCCTTTATGGCGATTCCCGAGTCGAACCGGGCGAGTCCGGTTCGACTCGGCGTTTTTTTAAACACTGGTAGAGAAAGAAAGGAAGGGGGTTGGGTGTTCACAGTAATTTGCATTGACACGAGGATACATGTTACTTAGTGAATAAAATACGTAAAAATAATTTAAACCGCAAAGAATAATCAGGTTGGATATGGTAGGAAGGTAAAGGGATATGGGCATATATGGTTCTGGATAAAACTAGAGCCCAATTTATGTTTGTATCCAGACATTAGAAAAAATGAATGTCTGTTCTAATGGTAGAGAAAGAAAGGAAGGGGGTTGCGTGTGCACAGTAATTTGCATTGACACGAGGATACATGTTACTTATTGAATAAAATACATAAAAATAATTTAACCCGCAAAGAATAATCAGGTTGGATATGGATTACACATTACATCTACCTGAATTGAAATCACCATTATTTTCCAACAAAGTTTTTATACAAACCCAAATAATCATAGAAAACACTAATTCACACTAAACTCGGAACAAATTCCAGGTACCAAGTTAAAGCAATAATCTTATCAGCACAACAAGGAAGACCACATTATTTACAGAGTAGATGACTTACATAACATAGTCACAATACACGTGAAATTTCACATTCATAGATAAGCTCAACTTACTGAGCATAGCAGGATCCAGGACCAATAGGAGGCCTTCTAGCGTATTCATTGGCGACTGGAGCAGCTGCTATTCCCCTTTGATTAAGCAAGCATCTAAAATATTCTAATCTTTGTAATACAGTATCAAGTCCAGTGGAAGTGGCATCCCTCGGACTCCACAAACGCTCTACAGGAAAATTCATGCAAATTTAAATTTGATGGCCCTCTATGATTTTCGCGTGAAAAAATAAAACAAAATTGAAATGGGAAGAACTAACTAAAAAAATAATGTAGATATTAGTTGAAACTAATGCAGAAAAGCATCTAATTATTTGAAAATGCCATATTTAAGCAGCCACAATTACATCCCGACTGTCTCATACCAAAGCAAAGAAACCCCAAACTAATGCAGATAATGCACACCATGTAAGGTTGTAAGCCTGTGCCCATAAGGGTGATGCACTGCTACATAATATATGGGAGAAACTATATGTCTGCACATTAAGACTTTATTGGAGGCTGGGAAAGTTCGCTATGACCGTATGATCCATATGAACATGGTCACATGGTCATTAAGAGGCATCACTGTCCAATCAATGGATTGGATGGTGGAGGGAGAATGAGACATACAACTGAATTTATTCACAGGATTCTTGGGACCCACTCTTCTTTCATCACTGTCAAACACATTGATGGGACAACAATGACCTCACGACCATATTGGTATATGATCATATAAATAATAGAGTATATTTTCCCTTAATAAAATGAAGTTGATTCATTTTAAGCATCTGTAATACAAAGACCAAGCTAGAATGAAGAACCAAAGATACACCATAACAAGAAATATAAATGTGAAAGATCAGTAGCCTTCTTTTTTTATTATTTACTTTTTTTATTTTTTTTGGGCAGGGCAGTGGGAGGAGAGTGGTATGGAAAGGCAGGTAATAACTGAGGTGAAAAGCTCTTATGCTCCTGTGGAAGCAAAATGTACATTTACTCCAAAACCCTAATTAGGAGTATTTTTAGGACCCCAAATTTGAAGAACTCAAACTAGCAACCAACCTTAAGAAAAAGAAAAATCCACTATGCACTCAAGAAATGCCTGAAAAAATCACATCCTAGAAATGAACAGAAACCATCCAATTTTTGGATGGTCGGATCTAGGTGTTTAAAAACTCAAAAACTTTATTTTTTTCCAAAAAAAAAAAACTCAACTGGTTGTTCTTATGATTCCTAAGTGGGATCGCAAAATTTTAGATCAAGCCAATCCTCCTAAGTGCATCTTTTGCCCGAGGGAGCAACTGTACGTTCTGCTCCCACAGGAGCACAGTGTACACGACCATAACTAATTGGAAGGAAAGTAATGCCACTTTTGCATACCTGAAGCAGCAGCAGCACGTGGCCATATTGTTTGCTGAACATCAGAGGCATCAACAGTCTCACCCCACATGCAAACCTCTCCACCAAGAACAAGTTTTTGATGGGAAGCATCATCAATCCCTTCTAATGGCTCACTAGTATAGAAGTCTTCCCAAGGAATATCTAGATGATCTAAGTACCATACACCTTGATTGCTTACAATGCATTTGAAGCCTTTAGCAACTGCTTGTGGACAAACACCAGGACCCAACCTGCAAATTAAGATGCATGCATTATAAAGTGTAGTATTGACAAGTTAGTTTAAGTATGGTTCAGAAGAAATTATTAAATATTACAAGTAAAACTAATTTATTATATTGCTATTCCATATGAGAAGAACAAGAACTTACCAATTGTGCACCACTGTTTGTGGGCTAAGATTTTCCTTGAATGTATTGAAGGTCTCTTCCCTGTGATATATGACGAAATATATCCACAGAAATGAATAAGGACATGGCATTTTTTTCTCCAACTGCAATTTGAGAGCTACAATGAATATCAGATTCTCTTTACATTGTTCGCAAAAACAGGCAAGTACCAGTTTACAGGAGTCCACTTTTGAGCAATTGCAATCTGTTGCCCTCTCAATACAAAATACTGGTATGCATCTTTTGCAGTCATGTTGTGATCTTGCAGCCTGCATGCAATCGAAGTCGAAAGATTTTGGTAACAACCTAAACAAACTTCAGAATCCAGTGTCTCATTTATAAATATAGAAAGATTTTTGCCAAGAATATGGGCCATCATATTTAACTAACCACATGAAGCGGAAAATTCTTTATAATCCTTTTGTAACTTGAAAAAAAAACTACGCTTTTTTTTTTTTGGGTGTGTGCTGGGGGTTAGGGGGGGGGGAGATGAAGTCTAGAGGTTTCGTGTCATCAAGACAAATGTACCTCTACATCTCCATGGTTTCAAATACAATGCAATCACTGACAACATATGTAGTTCAAAAGAAAACTAGATAAAGCCAATCACCTCAACATTAGCAACATTCTATTTAATATGTTTGACACAAAATTCTTCATCAATCATATCAGAAATCAACAGACAGTGACATACATCTACTTACCCATGAATCAGTAAATTCCTCATACCAGAAGGCCTGTGGCTTACATTTATAGCATGTAAATTATTAGAACTCAACCAGATGTATTTGCATCTGCTACATTATGAGAAATTCTCATCAATTGTTTCACAACAAACTTTCTAACAAAAGTCAAGGTTGAGATGACCTAGTGTTTTTTGAGAAGTAAAAGAGATAATTAGAGGGCTGGAACCTCGGACATTGAGCTCAAATAGGCAGAGTTCAGATAAACTAGTGTTTTGGAGGCTAGAAATGGAGCAGTCCTAACTTAAAAGTCGTCTATTAGAATAATTGTCAGTTCCTTAACTTATTCAAGCATTACTTTTTGCCAATGAAATTAGGTAGGATTAATCCACACCTAAACATATGGTAGGATGACAGAACTGATCCTTTTAATCACACATTTGTGGGCCCCACACATGTGAACCTAAAAATCTGCCTGTTGGTGCAATTGTGTTTTCGTTTCATATGAGCAAATTTTAAGTTGCATATACATATAATGATCTTCTATTAGTTTACTGCCGGTTTTTACTTACACAGCAATTTACTCTGAATGAATTCCATTCCCTTCCATCTAAAACACTTTTTAAGTTTGACATTAACTTCTAACATCTTGTATTAAGGCTGTTTCAAATGGCTTAACAAGGAAAAGACAGTCCATAAGTATCAAAATGCTTAATAAATTATATGATAGGACCAAGATCCTACCTCTTTCCAAAAGGAGAGAGAGGGGGGGAGAGAGAGTGAGAGTGAGAGAGAGAGAGAGAACGAGAGAGAGAGAGAGAGAGAGAGAGAGAGAGAGAGAGAGACGTACTTAGTTCGTACACGTAGTGGGTAGGGTAGTACGTACCAACTACTCGTACGAACCAAACTAACGTAACGTAACTATTAGTAGTAACGTAACG